GTCAAGAGCACACTAAACCTGAGTAGTCCTGCATCCAGAGGTCAAGTAGCTTTGATAGTTCCAATAGTTAATTTCAATCTGGAGGTCATTTATTTGCATGACTACCAGGGTTGGGATGAATTCCTTTTTGTCAGCTTCAATTCAAACATAAATATGGATTGATAATTTCTAGTTCAGTGTTAAGTCAGAGTGCCGACTGCTAACACTACATTCCAATGAATATACTAACAGGGCTGGGCAGGCAGGGTTGATAAATCAAGATGCTATTAGTTTTGGTCTTAGAAGTCAAAAGATGTGAAAAGATTAGTCTATAACTAAATCTGGAGACAAACCAGCTAGATTCACAACAGTGTTTGACAGGGCCAGACTGGGCTTGGGACGGATATTGTTTTTCCGTGCCATCTCAGGCTGGCATGATTGCAGTGACTGAACTTCTAAATCTTAAATAATTTTACCTAAAACATGAAATATAATTTTACCTAAAACATAAAATATATATGAGACAGTTGCTTAACTAAGTGGAAAATAACTGAAATTGAGGTGGTTAAATCACTCAATATGTTTTTAACATTTGATGTAGTAGCAAACAATACATTTTTCTGTTTATTTGAATGTACTTTCACCTAATTATTGTACTGTAATTAATTTGCATATCTAGCATAAAATACTACTTTATCAGTTTCATTCAATGATATGAGATTAAATGGAATTTGTTTTACTGCATTTAATTTATATTCAGTTCATGATTGACCCCAGGGCAGATGATTATCCCTAAGCCATCTCTGGCACCAACACAGTGCCATATCAGTGACATTTCCCACAATGATTAATGATTATATTACTTCACTAGAGATTTCCATGTTTCAGGTAATATACTGTTCCATCATCTGTCTGGTACAAAACATGCTGCAGTAATGAGTTTCATCCTGCACCAGACTAGGTTATCGCATAATATTGTTGCTTTGGTTTCAAAGATATCATGCTAGATTAAGAGTTGAATTTATAGTCAAAATATTTTTTGCAAGAAAAGTACATTTATGGATGAAATAAAATTATACAACCATATATGAACAAGAATTGAAAAAGAAATTTACCAACTTTAATCTTCACAGATAGAAGGTAATGCAAAGATGGCAAAATTAAAAAGAAAAGGGCAAGATTTTGAATGAAGTATACACTGAATAAGCAACACAAAAACATTATATTGTTTGTATTTGGACAGTGAAATACTGAAGAATTTTTTTTCTTTAGAAGAAATATTTTGTTTCAGTGATATATCCTTAAAGACCATTACATTTTACTGCAGATTGTGGTACCAACAGAGAGGATTCCTCCAGGAGTTGGGTACCACACCTCAGTCTCCGCCTTAGGTACTTTGCAAGCTTCTCAGCATAAAGGACAAAGTGTAGAGCTCATAACAGAAGATATAGAAGTGAGTGTATTTCCTTTTCTCCTTTATTTTGTCACAAAATGCTCACTTTATCCACATATCCAGGAGTGTATTAGAATATTATGTGATATATTTACATATAAGTATTTGTATATTTATATATATGTACATTTCTTTATTTATTATTTATTTATTCATTTATTTATATCTATATCTAATATGTACAAATAATGTACATCCGTATATATATATATGAAGGAAAACATGGTATGTGATTTTTTTCTTTCTATTCTTTAGCTATGTCAAATAACCCATCACTGTTTTGTAGTTAATTGGTGGACCGCAAATAGAGAACTACCCTTTCAAAGCAAGGAAAAGACATTCACAAGATTATATTCGCCAGTACTTGCACTTGAGAGCAAGAACTAATACTTTTAGTTCTATTCTGCGAGTGAGATCACAGGTATGTAAATTTATGTAATTGTTTGATTTTTATAATTTTCTTCCCTCCAGAAAATTGGATGAAGAATTTCTCCTCACTGAGATATACTTAGCTCCTCAGCATCATAAAGAAAAAAAAAAAGATGTACATAAAGGTAACGACCAAAGCTCTCATTTTTGTCAAAATTTATTCTTTGGTATCAAATAACAAATATAATCAACAGTTGCAATTATTTTGATGAGTACCTCTGGCATCATCGCCCCCAGATATGATAGAGACACATTTTAGGAAAAGAGTAAAATTTTATGATTCTGTCCTGGGAATTCATCAAATGAATCTAGCTTCTGTCTTCAGTACCCTGGTACAATGCTTTATTTCTTGATTTTTCATTCATTACTTGCTCTATCCTGTTTATTTAATTGATCCATTCTCTTTTTCTCTATTTTTTGCCTTTTCCCTCCCTTTCATTTATTTGTTTTGTCTTTTTGTCTGTCCAGCCAAGAGTAAGCATCATTAACTTCCAGTTTACTGCTCGATTTTCCTGGCTCAGACTGATAGGATTCCACTCTAAACTTGCTCTGCTGCACCTCAGCTTCTTCTGTTGTATATCTCATTATCCATATACAAAATTTACCTGAAAAATTGAATGGATCAAAGAAAATATCAGCCAATTCTATTTCTGACTCAATAGCAATACCAACCAATTGTCTGCTGTGATATTATCATCTTTCCTTAATTCTCTTAGTTTCGCAGTTGGTTCGTTTAGTCAAAAATACTTACCAGATAAGCCCCAAAGAGCCACAAACTGTCTAGCTTATCAGTTACCCTTCATGTATGAATGAAAAAGTTTATAAACATATATCATGTAACAAGTTTATTCCTTTATCATGGAACACTAAATATGTATATAGATGTATAAATGATAAAAGGACAATGATAAACAGAAGGCATCCTATCATACCATCCTATCATACATGATAGGATGGTGTGTAGAAACTTAAAAGATTTGGAGGGGGTAGCTAGATCAAATGTGCCATACAGTATAAGAATTGTTATTACGTTCTATTCACAATTGGAAAGCGGGCAGAGAAATGACAGGAAGAGGAAGGCCTACAAATGGACTAAGAATATGAGAGCGGTATCAAGGATGTGGCATGAGGAAACTTGGTAAATAGATATTTTAGTGGACACCACAAATGTCTCATTAATAATAAAAAAAGTTGCAGGGAAAAACACCTATGATTGACAGGGAGAATATACTAAAACCCAAATCCTTGAAAGCCATGATTCTGGCAAATTGGATAAAAGGGATTAAGTTCATCAGCTGATATGCATTATTAAATGATACTAAGGAATATGTTTAGTTAAATAGAAACAGGCTGGATGCCACTTCAAAACATTTTTGGACAGATGGTAACTTTGGTAACTAATTGTTAGTAATGATTTTCTTTTTTTGGTTTAAGGAACATTCAGTGTAATACCTGCAGAATTAATGTGTATTTTAGATTGATGGTAGTGAGATTTGAATGTGTATAGCGTATTTCTTTGACAGTTTGTAAAGCAGGGTTTTTATGATTCTGAATAGTGTATCATTCATATCAATAGTTTATATCATACAAGTATATATATGTATTAGAATGTGCTTAAAACACCATGCTATACTTCATCATGTGAGTTACTATTAAATAATGATGTTTTTTTTTATACTTTTATTTCTTATTTTTATTTTTTTTTTTATATCTGGCTCCCACACTTGAAAAATACTATTTTTAAAACTACTGAATGTTATGCAGACAGTTCATGGTTGGATCATTCTTTAAAAACCTTATTTTTTTTTACAGATGGTCTTAATTTTTGTTCAGAGTAATTATTACTAATAAGAATGTTAAGTTCTAATTGGCCTTAGCTATTTGTTTCATATTGTAATTCTATTAGAATGACACCACTTCACTTGATTCCAAATTTGTTAGTCGCCTGATAATGAGTAGTTTGTATTAAATAATATACATGGCTAATAGTATTTCTTTTTCTTTTCATAATCAATAAATAAAAGGCAAAGATGGCAATGCAAGAGTACTTCAACAAGGAACATTTTATCAACATTGACACACCAATTTTGACAGCTAATGACTGTGAAGGTGGTGGAGAAGTATTTATGGTTCAGGTAAGATTTTAACCAGTTCATTTGGATTTTTTAGTACTGTTATGTAAAAAGCGAAACTATAATGTTACAGTGTCCATGTACTATAAACAATAACTGGTCTTTTTGATGGTTCTAATGTGATAATTTCCTTTAGCCCCTTTTTGCAGAAGTTGGTTCGCATGAGTCACTCTCAACAAAGTATTTTGGTCATCCAGCATACTTGACTGTATCAGGCCAGCTGCATCTAGAGGCCATGGCAAGGTAATTAGTTGATTCTCTATATTCTCTATACATATTTTTATGAGATGATAAGGAAGAGTATACTAGTATGAGAAGCCCATTATTACAATACTTCACTTTCATATTACATGCAAGAAGGAACAAAAATACATATATTATTTTTCTCTCGTTTTTTTCAGTCCATTGAGGTAATGGTTATGTTATTCTGTAATTCTAGTGGTTTATCGAAGGTGTATAATTTCAATCCAGCTTTCCGAGCTGAGAATTCCCAAACACGGCGACATCTGGCTGAATTCTGGATGGTTGAAGCAGAGGAAGCCTTTCTCAGTGGGCCTGAAGGTCTACAAAACCTTATGAATAGGATAGAGGATCTCTTGAAAGCCTCCATTCAGTGTGTTCTGGATAAGAGTGAAGAGGATGTATTTACTCACTGGAAACAAAATGAATGTACAGAAGTAAGTACAGTGTCATAGTGCTGTATTGGTTATCTTTTTTTTTCTTTTTATAGTGTTTGAGTTCTATTTTCTCTGGGTGGTATCTAGAATGACTGAATAAAAAGTCCATGTTAGAGAGGGTATTTATATATCTATGTGGAAGTAAATAATGTGACTGCAAATCCACATATATTATTTCACATGATTAAGAAGTTGAATAAATATACTATTTTTCTCTGCAGTGTATTGCAACAGATACCTTGATTATAGGTTGATCCAGTGGACAAGCTTTTCACAAGACCTGCATTTTTGAACATGATAAATATGGGAAGAAATTAGAAAATGCTCAAAAGGCATATTGTTTTCACATTTATGGGTTTCATGAATATGTAAAGTTTGTGGATCATAGATGATTTTTTTCTTCAACCTGTCTATACTCACACTCTTGGCTCTACCACCAAATACTCTTCTTTCTTACAGGAATTAGTGAAAGCAGCATTGAGTCTACCGTTTATCCGCATGACTTATGATGAAGCTATGACTCTCTTGCAAGACAATTCCCAACACTTCCAGACCAAACCATCTTTAGGGGATGATCTCGGGAAAGAACATGAGTTGTTCTTAACTAAACATGCTGGCAATAGACCTGTGTTTGTGACTGACTGGCCCAAGAAAACAAAGGCTTTCTACATGCGAGCCAGAGATGACAATCCTGATGTGGTTAGTATTTGTTTGCTTTCTCTTTTGGATTAGTTTTTGTACTATATCTGTTATTGAAAAATAGGTCTTTGGAAGTATAAATTAGCAAAATCATTTTAGAATATATGGCGGTGATTGTTACAAAATGGAAAAGGTAATCAATATCTCTGTTACTGTATTGAGTAAGATTATTAAATCAGATCATTAATAATTGTGTCTAATTAATTTCTTCACAGTCATTATCTTGAATCCAATCTTTGAAGATCCCACTAGTGTACAGGAAGAATAAGAATGTAGTAACAGCTATATGAATGTCCACCTTCTTTCATAAGTAGCACAGTATTCCATTATTCACGATAGATAGTGTATTTGTACTGTTATTTTTCCAGTTGCTATTTAAATTGATTTATCTTGACAGGTTCTAGGAGTGGACTTGCTCTTGCCAGACATAGGTGAGGTAGCAGGAGGTGGCCTAAGAGAAGACAGACCACAGGTCCTTCGCAAAGAGCTCAATGCACGTGGGCTCATAGAAAACCTTCAGTGGTATCTTGATCTGCGTACTTTTGGGGGTGGAGCTCCCTCTGGGGGATTTGGTGTCGGATTTGAAAGATTTCTGCAGTTTGTACTTGGTGTAAATAATATCAAGGATGTCATTCCATATCCTAGATGGGGAAAACACTGTTCTTGCTAAAGTGCAGATATTTTTGCCATAATGTAAATATTGTTATACTAGTCACTTTTTGTATAAATAAGGAGGATGAGCTAATTAAATGAATAAAGAGGGAAATTTCTTTGGTATCCCTTTTCCTAAACAAATTGTCAAAGAAATACTATTATCAAGAAAAAAAGCATTTTAGAATTTCCATTTTTTTGTCATAAAAGCTACTCTATGGAACAGGAAGACAATAGCAAACATTCATAACCTCAACATGGATGAAAAATAAGTACATTTTATTTGGTTTCACTCTTACATGAAGTGTGACCGATGGCTGCACACTGCCAATCCACTGTGTAAGAATTTATAAACAATCACTAAAGTCAGTTGTAATCTTCTATTTAATTTTCATCAGAACCTGTAAAATAAATAGTTATATAAAGAAATAGTAAAAGAGGTTAACTTGCAAATTCTGAGAACTCAGACAAGTGTCCTAGCATTAGGTATTATTGGCCCTATTTCAGAGTAAATTGAAGATTGCTTGAGATAGGGCACCTCTTCTGACAAACATTTGCTTTTAACTGTATTAATACTATCAGTTACAAAACCAGCTTTATCTAAAATATCAAATTAAAATTTCAAAGAAATGAAAAATATATTAGTATAAATAAATACAACTCTTCAAAGACAAAGAATTATAATGACACACAAGTAAAAGTAAATAATTTCCATGAGTATGAATTACCCTACAGTAAGATTTTAGCCACTTCAATTAAATAATCAAGTATAATATGAAGTAGTACTTTCATAGTTCATAAAACATTTTCCATACAGTATCAATATAAGTGTGTTAATTTGCCAATGAATTTTGAGTGTTGTCTACTTTCTATTTTCTTTGTTAATGGAAACAATAATTAATTAAATAATTTTATAATGGTGTGAGAATTGATTTTCTTGAACTTTGGACTCCCCGGTGGATGTTTCACTTATGTTTTCCACAAGGTGTTGACTTAGCAGACAGGGTTCCGCACTTGCTTGACCTCTCCTTGAAGTGATTTCAACCACCCACGTCTTTACCAACTATGGTAATTCTGTAAACTGTAATAACCCCTTATTCTGACAAGACAGGTTAGTTTGTCGGATTTCGCTTGGGTTAAGTACCCCATCAACACCCCTATGACTGAGAGGAGGAAAAGGCGTTCACCATATATCAAGACTATCTACTGATTACATGCTACAATCCCATGACCTTAATGACTTGAGCACAATATTGACCATGATGATAGATATACTGTTAATCAGTAGGCGATGATGAACACCGTTCTGCTACCATTACAGCAAAATACTACATCAATCCTTGTCCAAACTAACAGGATCCGAAGGAAAAAATATCTCATAAACAGGTTTAGATGATATATACCAGCTGATAAATAAAATCTGTCCAATATGCAAATCGTTCAACGTGCTGGCATCTTAAATTACTTAAGTATATGCTCATTGCTACGTTTTCTATCATCTCCCTCCCACCCTACCATTCCCTAATTCCCCCCCGCCCTCCAGCTTACTCCTAGTGACATCAAAGGCCTTATCACCCAAAGCTGCGCAGAACTCCGAAGTGACGAGACATGTACTTATATAGAGCTTGGGCGAGATCACTCTGAGTTTCACCAAGGAACGAAGAAAGTGATGATGTCGGACGGGTAAGAATATCCCCACGAGTTCTGCGATAAATCAAGATTGTCCTTCAAGACTTTTCTATCGTGTGCAACCTGGATTCATTCACATTGTATTCTCATTCGGAGTTTCTTGCTTGCAGAGAAGGGAAGACTGGTTCTTATGACATAGGAAACGGCTCAAGCAATGAGAACAGCTGCAATTATGATTATAGAATTACGCAAATTCACTATGGCAGACTTTGCCCCATTTATTATTATGCTGTGTTCGGAACTCCTCTTGTTCGTCCAGACAAGTTGGACAAGATGCTTTGACCGTTCGGAACCTCTAATTTCCCATCCTGGACAAGTCGTTCATCTCGTTCCAGCGTTCGGAACTCCTCGTCTTGCTTGTCCAGACAATTTGTCAGGACCAGCAGGACAACGAGGCCGCGTTCAGAACCTCGAAGGCCTTCGCTGCCCAGAATGCAACCAGGATCAAAACATCTTTTCCAACTTGTCTGGACGAGCAAGACGAGGAGTTCCGAACGCAGCATTATGGTGCTCCTTGGGGTCCAAATGACCTTTTTAATGCAATAAAACAAAGTATTGCAATTTATTTGACAAACTCCCATTTTCATATATTTTCATTGAAACTTGGATCTATTTTGTGTGGGTTCATTGTGGTAAATATTGCTATATACATGACAACAATGCTAAAATAAAGGAAAATCTCTACATAACCAATTCTACGACATTTTACCATGAAATACATAATTTAGGAGATACTGAAGCAAATGTGAATGCAAAGTACGATTTTTCGGTGCTTAATAAAAACATATATATTCCTATTCCAGGCTAGTTAGCGCAAATATGTTCAGTTTTAGAACAAAGAAGTTTGGGGGCAAAAGCTCATAGGGAGAAACTGGTACCAATATCCTTTACGCATGCGATGATGCATCGTCTTAGAGAAAACGGGAAAAT